CTTTGGAGGTGGGAGGTGGGTCAGAGGGTGCTGTAGGATTCTTTAAACTCTGACTGCACCAGTTCATTACACAGTGTCTGGTTGGCAGTGTCTATGACCTTTCTTTCTTTCTTTCTTTCCTTTTTTTTTTTAAGGCATTGGGGTTAAGTGACTTGCCCAGGGTCACACAGCTATGAAGTGTTAAGTGTTTGGTCTGAGGTTGGATTTGAACTCATGTCCTCTTGACTTCAGGGTCAGTGCTCTATCCTCTGTGCCACCTAGCTGCCCCAAATGAGAGGCATATTCTTTTTTTGTTTGTTTGTTTTTTGTTTTTTTTTTTGGTTGGACAATGGGGGTTAAGTGACTTGCCCAAGGTCACACTGCTAGTAAGTGCTATGTGTCTGAGGCCAGATTTGAACTCAGGTCCTCCTGAGTCCAGGGCCGGTGCTCTATCCACTGCGCCACCTAGCTACCCCCCCAACTATGACCTTTCTTAAGATATGGATAAGGATGTTTGCTTCTTGGGATTTTATAACTGCAAGTTCTTATAAGTCTTTGGGGGAATGCAAATCAGTCGAGAATGCTTGCTACAGACTATATACAATATGCACACACTCATTCGTGCAGTTAGACTCATAATTACGGCGTTTTCCTCCTGTTAGGATCTTTGTGCTTGCCCCCTACAGAATTCCAGTGAGTATTCACATAAAGAATAATCTTGGGGCAGCTAGGTGGCACTGCTGTGGATAGAGCACCAGCCCTGGACTCAGGAGGACCTGAGTTCAAATCTGGCCTCAGACCAAACACTTTACACTTACTAGCTGTGTGACCCTGGGCAAGTCACTTAACCCCAATTGCCTAAAAAAAAAAAAAAAAAAGAATAATCTTATGGGGGAAAACTAGAAACATCTTTAGTGGAGGACCTTTGGTCCTCACCTCCTTGAGAGAACAACCCAAGGCCAACCTCCTGGCTTTCTCTGGGAAGACTCAGGCCCATCCATATTAATTGCCTCCTATCCTGTATACCAGCATAATTTTCATTACTTCTTGTTTTCTTTCGCTGTCACCCCTGAAACTAGCCTAGAAACCTCTGCTTCCCCACTTAGAGAGCTTTACTCCGTTTTTTTGAGTACTCAAAGATTTCCTTGGCCTGGAAATAAGTTAATGCTTTGCTCCTCAGCCCACCAATCACCATCCTTTTTAGGTGGTCAAAGAGATGTGCTCTGGTGGGAGACCATATCAGACAGAACATGCTAAATGGAAGAGGCACAAAGTACAACTGGAGGTCTGAGGAAGGAAGATCAGTTCTGACTTAGAGAGGCAGCTTGGTCTACTGGCTCTGGAATCAGAGAACTTGGGTTCAAATCCTGCTTCTGATGCTTAAGCTACTTAAGTCACTTCCCCTCCCTGACCTCACTTAGTTTCTTCCCCTGTACAATGAGGGGGTTGGACCAGATGACTTCTGAACTCTCATTCATTTCTAAATCTGTGCTTCTTTGTGTAACCTTGACCTAGTCACTTAAGACTCCTTGGGCCTCAGTTTCCTCTTCTGTAAAATGAGAGAGCTGGACTTGATGGCTTTTGACAGCCATCTTTCTGGGCCTCAGTTTCCTTCTCTGTAAAATTCCTTCTCTGTGTTGGGCTAGATAGCCTCTGACAGCCCTTCAAGCTCTAGGTCCAGGAGTCTATGTGTGACCTTGCTCCCTTCCGTGGACCTCAGTTTCCTCCTCTGGAAAATGAGGGGGTTGGCATAACACTTACTAGCTGTGTGACCCTGGGCAAGTCACTTAACCCCCATTGTCCAATCAAAAAAAAAATCAAAAAACAAAAAACAAACAAACAAAAAAAGAATATGCCTCTCATTTGGGGCAGCTAGGTGGCTCAGAGGATAGAGCACTGGACCTGAGTTCAAATCCGACCTCAGACCAAACACTTGACACTTACTAGCTGTGTGACCCTGGGCAAGTCACTTAACCCCATTGCCTAACCAAAAAAAAAAAAAATGAGGGTATTGGACTCAATGGCCTATGGGGACTCTTCCACCTCTAGATTTAGGATCCTCTGTGTGACCTTGGGTACGTTACTTCTCTCTGGGTCTCAGTTTCCTCCTCTGGAAAATGAGGGGTTTGGAGTAGGTGACCTCTGAGAGCCCTGGCAGGTCTAGATCAAGTCTATGTATGACCGTGGTCAAGCATAACCATTTTGGGGCTGTTTCTTCTTCTATAAAATGATTAGCTGGCCTCTCAGTTCCCTTCTAGCTTTTAGTCTGTTATCCTATGTGTGACCTTGGGCAAGTCACTTCTTCCTGGGCCTGTTTTCCCCTCTGTAGAATGAGAGGGTTACACTAGATGGCCAGCTGGAGGTCCCTGAGCTTATAGTGAGGAAAGGGAGGCCAGGTAAGGCAGGTGTTTGAGCTAGCATTTGATCTGGGTATTGACAGAGGGGTGGGATTTCTAGAGCAGAGACTGGGCACAGGGCAGGCTGGGAGAAAGCAGGGCTTGAGCAGAAGGCTGGGAAAGGACTGGCCATCCACCGTGTGTTGGGGAGTGTGTGGGGAGGGCAGCATTGGGCCAGATCGTGGAGGGAGGCAGCAGAGGTTTCAAGCATGGTGAATGAAATAAAGGGTGGAGTAAGGAGGAGCAGGTTTGGGGGGGGTGAGAAAGTAAATTTGGACAAGTAGAGGCAGGTCCTGCAGTGCTCTTCTCCTCTAATCTGGTTGGTACGCAAAGCTTCACTTAGAAGAAAGCTTGGGGCTAGTCTGGGAGTCCTGGGATCTTAGCAGGCTGGAACCCCATTTGGAAGTCGGAAGCATTCTCATTCAGATCTCTCCCTTGTGCTGCACAGCAGTTCATTTGCCCCAGGTAGAGAGAGGGCTTTGGGCGACTCAGTCCTAGGGATCGGTGCTTGGCCCAGTGCTGTGCAATATTGTTTTAAGAACGACTTTGAACAAATAAGTTATTTTGATTATTATAAACACCCAAATTAACTGTGAAGGACATATGGAGAAAGACACTATCTGCATCCAGAGAAAGAACTGATAAACAGAAGTACGGAATAATTTTACATACATACATACATACATATATACAGATATACAGATACACACACGCACACACACACACACATATGGTTACAGGGAGAGTGGAGAGAAAGAGAGAGATCTTGTGAAGGAGGAGACAGCCCTTGGTAACTGTGTGGATGGGGAAGGAAGAAGGTAGTGAGGGAAGTCAAAGGTGATTCTGTGGCTTTGGGAGAACAATGGTGTCATCTGCAGAAATGGCGAGAAGTTAGATGGGGACATCTAGAAGGAGCTGTCCAAGATGAAGATGTCAGAATGGGAATAAAATCAGAGATGGAGGAGTCATATGCATAGAGCTCATTGAAGCCACAGGAGCGACTGAATAGTTGAGGGAGAGATTGTGGGAAAAGAAGAGAAGTTGTGGAACAAAGGTGCAGGGGAGACAGCCCAGGGCTCCTGAGTCAAAGGACCAGCCGTTCAAATCCTGCCTCTGGCATTTACTAGTTCCTATGGCTATGCATCATCCTGGCTAGTTTCGCCAGGGTCTCCAAGTTCTCCAGGAAATAGTTAAGGGTTTAGCATCTCAGCTATCAGCTCTTGGATGACTTTTCTCGTGGAGTTGATACTGGCAGGGCCATATCCATCCCCGCACAACTGAGCCGGTACCCTACTTGGGAATACCAAAAGTCCAGTCAGTAGTCCTCCCCTCCCTCACTTCCTTCACTTGTATGGGCCCTCTAACAATTTCTGAGCTAGCATTAGGACAAAATCGGTGCTGTGTTGCCCTAGGAGGGAAGTATCCAGGGAGAGAGGACAAAGAAAGCACGAAGTATGGTCTGCTCCAGGGACAGACACCTGGACACAACATCTAGTAGACTCAAGCCTGCCTTTTGAGGGGCTAGCCTAGATCTCTTTTTCAGTGTCTATATATCCCATCCTAAGAACCTTGGTGTGGTCTCAGAAAGTGGAAAACATCTCTTAACAGCTCAAGTTCATGGACAATTTCGTTCCAATTGGGAAGTGAGATCTTCCTAAACACAAGAAATTTGTGCATGTTCCTCATTTAATTAAAAAAAGCCTCTGAAAGAGACGTGTGGAGAGCTTTTGCATTGCATTTAATCCCATCCTCTTCCTGAAGCTCAGAGGGAGGGGAGGATGCAGCAGTTAGTGGCAGAGCAGGGACTAGAAGCCAGGCACCCTTCTTCCTAGGCCAATGACCTTTCCCCTTAAACTTCAGGAGTCACGCCTCTATCTCTCGGTGCCCTGGATAATCTGGTATTTTCAAAAATGTACTGCTGCTGTCTAACCTTTATCACGTAGCTTGCCTTCTCAATGAGGGTGGATTGTCAGGGAGGAAGGGAGAGAATTTGGAACCCAAAGTTTTAAAAAACAAATGTTTAAAATTGCTTTTACATGTAACTGGGAAATAAGATATACAGGCAATGGGGTATAGAAATCTATCCTGCCCTACAGGAAAATAGAAGGGGAAGGGGATAAGAGAAGGCAGGGGGTGATAGAAGGGAGGGCAGATCAGGGGAAGGAGTATTCAGAACTCAAGCTGTCTTGGGGTGGAGGGAGCAGAGAAACGGGAAGAAAATTTGGAACTCAAAATCTTGTGGAAGTGAATGTTGAAAACTAAAAATAAATTTAAAAAAGTGCTGCCGAACACATGAGTCAGATACAGTGCAGGCAAAAAAAGTTGCAGAGCATAGACTGATCTAACAGCATCAGGCTTAGATAATATGGGAGTCAGTTTGCTCCCACACCAGAAAGGGGTTCCACCCATTAACCGTTGAAAAAGCAATAGTCTCCATTCAAATGAACCTTGGTGTTATATGGGGCAACTGGACAAAATGAATGGGGGCTTATGTAAACTCTAGTTTTGTGGGGTTTTAAAAAATAAGTTTTAAAAGAAAGATCCTTAAAAATGTTTCCTGGCACCCCCTCATCCACCCCTCATCCATGTAAGCTCAATTTTGTTACAAAACTCCAAACAAATGGACCTGGTTCTATGGATGGATTTATTTCTTAAGATCTGAGTGCAAACTTTAAAAATACAACAAAACTTTCCATTAGGAATCAACACACCACACCCAATAATGATTTTGCAATCATGCATTTTAACAGAAAGTACAAATAGGTGCATATTTGAAAATTAAACATTTCCCCTTAGACCAAGAAAACAACACAATCTTCTCTCTGTTCCTATTTTTTCTAATTCAGAAACACATCACATACATATTCTATGGAGACAATATTAGCTAAGTATTCTAACCCATCTCCGTGATCAAAGAAACGAACACTCTGACTTTGTGAATCATTTAACTATATTTAGTCTCTGGAAAATATGCAATTATACTTCCACATATGGTGAAGGTCATGACAATAAACAGTAGAAACTGAGGCAAGATGAGATATTTCAGGTGTAGAAAGCCAAAATCACAAAGGTTCAGTTTAGAATCATGCCTATGGAATTGCGTTTGGTTTGGTTTTTTTTTAATTACAGCTTTTGTGAAATAGCTGACATAAAAAAAAATCAACAGTAAGCAATTTAAACATGTATTGAATACATGGGGTCAATCTCCAAAGATCAAATCTCTGAAAAGCCACTATTCATATGGAAAAGACTTTTCTGTGTATGTAAACAAATATGCATTTAGATAAAAAAAAAAAGTGGGGCGTAGTGGCATCTCCCTGGTCCCTTAAACGATATTTGGATTTTCATAAAGAATTAGCAGCACCTAAAGTGTTAATTTACTCAATCTAAAAGGTCGACACAATAGATTAGTTGGCAGTGTTCTAGCTTTAGGGAGATGAGAATGAGGGAAATGAAAATCTGAGAAAATATCACATACATTTAGCCAAAGTCACATTTCCAAAGGTAGCTTTAAAAATGGACAGAAAAATCATGAAGTTAACAAGTCTAAGAAAAGAGTCCCTAAAGGCCAGTCCCCAAACAGTGGGCCATGAATAGTCGTGGTTGCTGAGTTGTCCACTTAGTAACTAATGATGGTTGATTTTACAGATCAAAGAAGAGCTGGGGATTTGGGAGACTATCCACATACACATATCATTGCACAAACAATTTGCCCAGCATTTTACATCCCTGAACACTAAACAGATAAAATCTTTACAAAAACCTTCATTCCAGATTATTTTCCTTTTTACCATCATATACATAACATTTAAATATTTATGAATAGAAGAATCTCTTTTCTTTATAATATAAATATTTTAGAGCAAGGAAAACTATCTTGTAGTGGCGGCCAACATTTTTTTTTTTAAAGAAATGTAAGCAACACACACATGCACACAACATAAAATGATTAAGGAAAAAAAAGTGCAAAGTATAACAGTATTAAGAATGTTCACTTTTTTTTTTTAAACAGTAACTATAGCTCAAGTGTACACAGCCAGCACGGAAAAGGGAGCAAAAAAAATTTTAAGGGTTTTAAAAAACAAAAACACATGCACAATAAGTTACAGCACAAACAACAGATGAACCCTTATTGAACGGTCCCACGCCCACACCTAGAATTTCCAGTTTCTAACTTCTTCCACAAAAAAGGAAAAAATAGGATGACAGTGCTTTCTTCCCTTTAAAACCAACTTCCAAAAACGGAACCAAGTTACTCACCCAGAGGACACAGACAAGATTGCTAAGGAAATATTATATTTGTTTGTAATCTACTAGAATTAGGGTGAACTGCAAGACTTTCCAAAATGAAAAAATACTAAGAATCCAAACCAGTGACAGAAAAAACTTTTTAAGAAAACCCTAAAAAATATATTTGTTTTAATGGAAGTACATTTTGAAATTGATTCTTCAGAGTCGTGAAAACAAATTGCAAACATGAGCTCTTCTTAAGTGTTGTGAATCGGTCACAACTCTTAGGATTTGTTGACGCCATTGTCTTTCATATGAGATGTAACCTTCCACTATTTTGCTTTTGATCCTGTGTTTTCAACTTAAATATATATTGGCAGGCATTTTGCCAGAAACCTTAAAAAAAATGCACCTGCCATTTGTAAATGTCAAGGGAATGTGGTTATGGAATTCGGATCGCAAACAGTAATAAGAAGCAATCCAGTTTCCCTTTAAATATATTACTCAGTAGCATTTTTTGTCTTAATTTAAACTTCAGGCACTGTAAATATTCACAATATTATAATGATGTATAGATGATACCATCACTAATGCATGTCTGTAACCTTAATTCTTTATCTTATACACTCTTTCCAAGAATACGGTATTTCGTTTATATCTGTCTGTGATGCTATAGCCATGAGTTGTTTTTCGATAACTACCTAACATATATAAACAGTTGGAAAAGGATGTCAAAGCCCCCAGGCGGTGCTGCACAGAGTAGTGAGATCATAGATCTGTCTGTCAGGCCTGACAAGTAAGGAGGAAGCTTCTAAGTTAGGAAGACAACTGAACCTAGAAAGTGCAAATTTTATCCTCTACTCCAACCCTATTTATTTTGCTTCGACTTTAGCTAGGTTTAAGGAACCAGAAACGAACCTTAGGCAGAGTTACATTTTTGCTTTGTAACTCAGATGGGGTCAAGAATCAAAATTCAATAAAGTAGCTAGAGGCAAAAGACTTCCATCTAGGTTTCATTAGAACAATGCAAAGAAAAGTTAAAGGAGACTCAACAGCCATTTGAATTTTCAGGTTTTTCTTTTTGTTTTGATTTGATTAACTTTAGATTGTAATAGCTATATGTGTAGTCTAACAGCCAGAGGCAAAAGTAAAACGCCAAAATTTCAAATTGCAGAGGGCATAGCCCAACTATTTTTGAGAAAAGGCCCAACATTTATTTGCCTCCATACATTCTCTCGATGTCGTTGAGGTAATGGTTCCTCAGCTCTTTCCTTTTCAACTTGAAAGCATCAGTTACCAAGCCGGTTTCAGGAGTCCAAGGTTCTGGGCTTAAGCGAACTTTGATTGGAATTTCAAAACGCTCCAATTTCACTAAAAGGAAAAGAATAATGAGAGTCAAATTAAGTGTTTCTGAATTTCACAGGACTAAGAAAACAAACAAACAAACAAACCAGGCAGAACGATGTACTTCATGAAGTGTGATGTTTTCTACACAGGTGATTCAGGAGAAATTAACTCGATGGGAATGTTAAATAGCTTAATAATAATAATTCTACTAAATATTTCTACTAACACTATTTTACAAGGTGGTTTCATATCTACTCCCTTATTTGGATGGGATTTTTGCCTGTGTAGGCTTATATTTATGTACAATTGCACCTTCAAACACACTCTTTCTGGGCACTGTGGTAGCTCAAGTACTAAATAGGACATGAATCCTGAGTCTTTCTAGACACACTTCATTGAATTGCCAAGGAGAGGGAAAAATTGGCCCTTGATATTGTGGATTTCATACAAGTAGAAAAGCCTATGAACTTTAATTAGGAAGTTGCTGTTGTTGTTTTCTTCCTTTGTTCTTGAAGAGGACCAATGACATCAAGAGGGTGATGTCTTGACTTGCAAGTGAATTCGACTTAAGTGAGGCAGGGCTGTGCAAAGTCATCAGCCTCACTCTCTCCTCCCGAGCCATCTGGGTCCAGTGGCAAGACATAGATCAGGATGACTGGAGATGGCCTCGGACGTAGTGAGAGACCTTGGCCTTTGTAAGCTAAGATCTTTCCCAGGTCTCTGTCTCAGGCAAAGTCCATTCAGTGACTAAGGCTAGGTAAGAAATGAGGCCAAAAAACGGCCTCTTTTACCTACTCAAAAAAAAAAAAAATCAATCTGGGAAGGGAAGACCCTCAGGGTTTCTGGCCAGAACAGAAGCAATTGTTATTTATTCTTAGACAAACACCAAATCACTTTATGATGTTCATTCTGAAAAACTGCTTTGTCATGTTGTTTATTATTAATAAAAATTAATGACTAAAGCTCTAAAGGTTTATTCATATTAATCTGCAGGTGATTCCTATTTTATATATTACACCAAAGCTTTTCCTAAAAGATCCATGGTGATCAGAAATGACCCACCTTCTCAAGCAGCACCTTCTACTTTTTGGGCAGGTGGAAAATATTCCCTCCCAATGAGCCAAACGGGCCTCTCTGTACCTTCTATCCAGGGGTTCCATTGCCACCCTCTTAGGCCAAAAGAGCAATTCAAATACTTGGGGACTACAACAGTGTCTCCCCCACACTGTGGGAATTGCTGAGAACACAGACAACATGCAAAGAGGAGAGGGACCAGGACAGAGGCCTGGAGGACACCGACACAGAAGGAAGAGGACATGGAGGATGAACCTGGAAGGATTTAGGAGGGAAAACACTTGCTATTTTCTTCTCCAAGGATAGGAAAATTTAAGAACTAGACATAGTATCCCAATTATTTAAATAATTTGATATCTCTTAAATACTGCTACAGAAATTTAAAAAGCCCCACAATGAGGAAGATTTAACTATGGGGTCTTTTATAAGCTCAAGTTCTGAGTGGATTCTGATGACGCCAGGCCAGACGCCAACGTCATCATACTTACTGGTATTTGCAGCTTCTTTAATCTCCTTAAGTATCTCTGCTTCCATGGTAGGGTCATTGCAGATGTCTACCCAAGATCCCTCTACCCCTTTCTGCAGGGCTAGGGCCATCAGCCTTTTTTGATTAGGAACCACAAAACTGATCACATACGACTGGTCACTAAAAGATTGGAAAAGTACGTGTCATATCAAAAAGCAGTTTATCATAAGTGATGACAAATGAAACAGTGGTCAAAACATTTCCAAAGCTGTACTCTTCTAAGTTATTCATGGTCTGATTAACAAGTTTTAAATAAAACTTTACATGAAATTCTGATGCTGAATAAAGATTGTACTTCAGGAACAGCAGAAAAAAAAATCCTGAAGTAGAAGAGCTCAGGGAGTTCAGTTCTGGTTGGCCATGAATCAACTGGGTGAACTTTCCTTCTCTTGGAGTCACTTTCCTCATCTTAAGGGGTTGCACAACTGGGTTATTATACCCTCAGGAGATTCCATGGGTATTAAAGCATTCGGTGCAGAATTATTTCACAGTAGGACAAAATTAGAAACAAATTATGTGCCCAACAACTAGGTGACAGCTGAAAAAGCTGGGATATGTTAATGTATTGGACTATTTACCATAAGAAATACACTTCCTTGAGAAAAGATAAAACCATAAGAGGGGAAAAATACACGTGTTGTCAGCTGCAATCTCTATCATTTAGAATTTTGCTTGTTTTTTTTTTTTTAACTAATGAGGGTCCTATGGGGTGATTCTTGGGAAGTGCTTGTATCAAAACAAATATAGCAAGAAAAATAAAATAAACACAATGCAACGGTTGGACAGCTCTGAGGTTCCTTCCATTCTATAGCATTCTGGAATGCACACATATATACATGCACACACACACATGCACACCCCTCACCCAATTACCTCTGCTCCTCTCAGAAAGAAGTTCAGACACAGAATGTGTTCCGTGGGACACTGACCTTTTGGCATAGGCGCAGATATTATCTATGAGTGGGCAGTTTTTCAAGGCAGCCTCCACTTTGCCCAGAGACACGTACTCCCCAGCTTGGAGTTTCACCAAATCTTTCTTGCGATCTAGGAAGTCATAGAGAAGAAACTTTGACTTACCCAGAACTGGACTCACTCTTTTAGCTAAAATCTGGATTTGACTTCGGTTTCTCTGCCTTAATGTTAAAGACAGAGACAGTCCTTCAAAATCTGATTGCTTTTCTACATTTAATATTTTTGTCACACATCATTTTACTTGACCTTTATTTTAAGACCTGCTAGGAACATGAACATTTCATTCTATATAGCCATATTTGAATCTCAGACCCATGAAAATATATGATGAAATTTCCTCCTACCTGATAAATGGCAAATGCCTAAGAAAGAAAATTTGAGTGGCCCCAGGGACCCTGTGGCTTTCTTTAAGTATTTAGCCATGTTGGAGCTAAAGATGGCACAATGTCAGAGCACACTGGCACATGAGAGGGACCAGTAGAGGCTTTACAATCAGTGCACCCATGCCCAAAGGCCTGGATGTGGCCTGGCCATCACTCAAGAGCTGTACTGTAATGCCAAGCAGCCTCCAGGGCCCCCCTGATGGCCTGCTCCAAAGGGGATTTGAGAAAGGTCTCAGAAGTTTGGGATTCAATTATGTTCCTGTGAAACTCTCTTCCAAGCAGCACAGAACTTGTGGAAGGATCCAAATTCACCTTTCCAGGAATTTTCTGAACTGGTCAAAGCAGGAAGAACACAATGTCTGCTATTGATACTAACATTTCCCAATGGCTAAATCTGGCTAGAGCTACGGAAGCTGCAATTTTATACCAAAATGTGTCTGTGTTGCCCCTTGGCACTTTGACAATGGGGATAGTACCAGACAAGGGGAAAGGGGAGGTGTGGTGGGCTGAGCAAGCCGAGGAGAGAGGAGCCCAGATGCATGTTGGTGGCCACCAAATTCTGCACCCCCTGCCCCCCACTCCTACACACATACACACACCTGCTATTTTCACCCAACATGAGTACCAGCCCTATACCAAGCACAGTGCTCTGCAGACAGGTAGGGACTTCTTAAATGGTGACTGAATCCAGTTGCTAAGGATTTTCCCATTATCACCTTTACAGATACTTAAGTTATCAAAAGCAAATTAAACCTGCGGAAAATAAAAAAAAAATACTGACCTATGATCTGTAAACATCCATCAGGGTGAAATTCTCCAATATCTCCAGTACAAAACCATCTTTGTCCATTTTCATCCACAGTGTAATCTTCAGCCGTTTTTTCTTCATTTTTAAAATAGCCCATGGAAATATTCTGCCCACCGATTACGATTTCACCCCTGGGGTTTGGCTTGTCATGGATGGTATAGCCTCCTAGAAATCAGAAAAGCAAACTGGCCCATGCTCTAAAAATACAATGGACTTTACTAATCATTAAAATGATTTTTCTATAATTAGCTGGTAATACAACATAGTATATGTTATACTAAACTACAATTTGCCTTAGGGTCAGCCTTATGTGTGAGTAAGCTAGAGCACATCCTGAATGGTAATGGGCCTTGAGATCATTCCATTCACGGAGCAGGTGAAGGAGCTATGGATCTTTAGCCTAGAGAGGACCTGGGCAGGGAAGGAGGGCTGTCTTCAAATACCTGAATGTCTGTCACATGGAAAAAAAGGATTAGCCATGCTCTAGTCAGCCCCAGAGGACAGATACAGGAGGAACAGTTTGGAGTTAAAAGACTTCACTTGAAGTCTGATGTATGGAAAAATGTAGAGTGAGTAAAGAGTATTTTCAATGGGAACTGGAAGCCTGATTTACAGTTACAGGAAGTAGGAAAACAGGAGCAAAGCCAGGGGAGAGAAGGTATGAAAATGGACAGGTCCTAAGTTTAGCAGTACAGTAATAACAAGAAGAAAAAGCCAAGAGAGGCAATATGGCCCAGGGATTAGAGGGCTGGTTTAAAGCCTCGTTTAAGTTCTGTCTTTGACACATACCAGCTGTGTGACTCTCAGAAATTCACTGAGCCTCTCTGTGCTCCAAGACACATCAAGACTTACGTGTTATGACCAAATTGCTCCTTTGCATTGGTAGAGAGTTTCCATATTGGGAATTCCCCAAACTGATGAAATGACAGATTGGGGAGCCCCCCCCCCAATAACAGGCAACACAGGCAGCTTCCTTCTACTAGTTCACCTTTAGAGAGCCCTAGAGGTGCCTTAGGAATGGCTTTTTCTCATAATAGCCCTATGAGGCAAAGTATACACATACTGTCATGGCCATTTTTTTTTTTAGGCAATTGGGGTTAAGTGACTTGCCCAGGGTCACGCAGCTAGTAAGTGTCAAGTGTTTGGTCTGAGGTCGGATTTGAACTCAGGTCCTCCTGACTTCAGGGCCGGTGCTCTATCCACTGTGCCACCTAGCTGCCCCGTGTCATGGCCATTTTACCAATGTGGAAACTGACAAGTTACATGACTTGCCCAGGGTCACACAGTCAACGTCTGAGGTGGGATCTGCTCAATACTTTTTTTTCCCACTACTTCATACTGTCTCTAACATATTTAGCAAAAGCTCTTCCATTTTTTATACTTCAAATATATTGACAAATTTCTGATGTTTTGCACAACAATTTGACTGACATTGTCCTTATAGGCTTCCATTAGAAAATTAGACACATGCTCTCAGAAAAGCTATGTGGCCTTTGGATGGAATAATAACATTTTCAAATTGAAGCCATCACTTAAACCCCACTTGTGATGCTTCTTCATGGTAATCTGGATGCTTGAAGGCCCTGCCTGAACCTAGAAAGGCATGACAAAGGACTTTGTGTCCGCCATTCAAGGACTGGCCTATGTCTGGGCTACTCCACCCCACCCACCGGTAGCTACTATGTCCTAAGACTTGGAAGGGTTTGAGCAATGTTCTAGGGAATACCTCTATTGATGAAATCAGAGATTCCCTCAGGAACATACATTAATGTAATGTAATAGACTTTTTGAGCTCCAATATTTAAAATAAAATTATTTGATGACAGTTTGGTGGTGTGGGGTGGTAAGATTTGGAACTCAAGAACTTGAGCAGGAAGACTGGAAAGAATTCTGTTCTCTTGCCTCCCGGTCCAGCTGTTCTAGTGCTGACTACCAGGAGAAGTAGAAAAGATAAAGAAAATAGCCCCTGGAGGCAAGGGAACTGTCAATCATTTGTTTAGGGATGTTAATGTTTATTATCTTTTTTTTTTTTTTGATGGTGAGGCCTAGCTTACCTTTCTCTTCATGGGCAAAGCAAAAAACAAAAACAAAAACACAACATCAATAAAAGGAACATCAGCAAAGTGGGAATTTTAAAAGCAGATGAGTACAATTTAACCATCCAGACAGTACTGGTGAATCACAAATTAGTACAAGAATCTTCTTATTTATTTATCTGCCAAAGCTTTTGGAGCTTTTCTTCTGGGGAATCCTGAGGGAGGGGTTCAACTCTGAAGAGGAAGCTTAAGGAAGTCATCAGCATAAAGCAAAACGTGCCACCTCAGATAACCTGGCACTCCAAATATTCTGGAGTAAGGCCTTTGCCAACTGAATGACTGTTGGGTTAGCCTAAGTCTACATTTAGCACACCGACCATTAAATAAGTGTTTGTACGCCTCTGGCCCCTTTTCTATTACTCTGCCACCATTGCCGTGGAACCATAAAGGGACAACATGGGACTAAGGGCCCTTTTGGTGTTTGGTTTGTCCCATGGGCACCTAGTGGCCATGCCCATCCACACTTGACCAGGCTGCTCCTCAGACAGCTTCAATTCAACAACCAATAATGTTTATTAAGAATTATATGCTCTGGGGGCAGCTAGGTGGTACAGTGGATAGAGCATTGGCCCTGAAGTTAGGAGGACCTGAGTTCAAATCCGGCCTCAGACACATAACACTTACTAGCTGTGTGACCCTGGGCAAGTCACTTAACCCCAACTGCCTAAAAAAAAAAAAAAAGAATTGTATGCTCTGCCTTGTGCTAGATCCTAGGGAGGCAAAGAAGTCTTGCCCTCAAGCAGCTTACATTCTATTATTGGGGGAGGGGTGCTCTGTATGTACATAGAGTAATAATGAGGCACAGAAAAGGACTCACATCTCAGGTGAGGCCGAGTCTTGCCTTGAAGGCAGGTTTAAGAGGTAAGAAAGAAGTGCCTTTCAGACATGGGGGACAGCTTATACAGAGGCACTGAGGTGGGAGATGAACATCATGTATGGAGAATAGCTAATAGGCCAGACAGATCCCAGAATCTCCAAGGCAGGATGGGGCAGAGCCACCTGCAACTCCCTGAAAGCATCTGGGTTGGGCTCTGGGTGGAGGAGCATAGCCAGAGACACTCCACACCCTCTATGAGCGGTCTTCAGTGGGCACTGTCCAATGAGCTGAGAACAGCATAAAATTCTTACCTTCTTGCCAGTCCTTTAGCTTAATTTCACAGCAAATAAGAGGGGCTCCTACTCGACCAGTGCTATAGTCAGTAACTATGAGAGAGGGAAAAAAGAGACCAGCATTGACTATGACATTCTAGACTGTATAATATAGGAGGAATGGCATGAGGCAGAGGATCAGAGAGAAAAAAAAGGAAAGGGAATTGGCAGAAAAGGAGAAGTCACCTCACCAAGGATCTATCTGGTGTCTGCTCTGTGCCAGGCACTGTACCACGTACTGCAGAGGCAAAGATAAAAGTGAAACAGTCCCGTGGTCAAGGAGTGTACCTTCTTTTAGGGGTGTAATACATATATATGCAGAGAAGCGTACGTCGAGTTGTGCAAACTGATGATGGGGAGCATCATACAGGAGGCACCAGCTGAGCTGAGCTCTGCAGGAAGCTCCTGATCCTAAGAAGGAGAGGGCTCTGAGCACAGAGGTACGAACGTTGGACTTGAAGACAGTGCATTAGGAAGAGGAATGATCCGAAATAAACCTGGCAATGGAGGCAAGAGCCAGGTTGTGGAAACCTGTTAAGTGCTAGGCTGTGGGAGTGGTGTTTTATCCTATAATCCTACAGGGAGCTAGTGAAGATATCAGAGCAGAAGAGCGACATAGCCGATTTTTAGGAATATCAATTTGGTGGCTGTGTGGACAGCAGATTGAAGGGGAAGGCCAGACAGCAGAGAGACCAATTAGGCTAATGCACTGGTCCAGTTGAGAGGTGATTTTAAAAGGGCAGAGGTTATGTGAATGGGAGGGAAGGGGATGGATGAAAGAGAAGCTGTGGGTGTAAAAACAATGAGACTTAGCAAATGACAGGCCAAGAGGACAGGAAAGAGTAAAGGAAGCTCTAAGTTTGTGAACCAGAATCAACTGAGAAGGATGGCGGTGCCCACAACAGCAACAGAGAAATTGGCCGGAAGGGTAGGTAACATAGTGAGTTTCTATTTGGTTATGTTGAGTTTGAGATCCCCATAAGGCATCCAGATAAAGATGCCCAATGGGCAGGTAGTGATAAGAGGACTGTGACGTAGGAGTCATCCCATAGAGATGATGAGGAGGCCTGGGGAGAATGTCCACATTTAGTCATCAGGGTGCAGGAGCAGGATCGTGTCCTAGCAAAGGAGCCTGAGGAGTGGTAAGACTGGGAGGAGAATGACAAGTGTCATGGAACTGAGAAGACAGTGTGAAAGAAGAGGCTCGATTGTCATAAGCTGCTGGATAAGTCAAGTAGAAGGAAGACTGAGACAAGACCAGTCCATCAGGCAGTACGAGATCACTTTACATCATAAAAATATCAACACACCAGGGAATTTAATGACTGAATTGAAAAAAAGAAATACTAAATTCTTAAATTAAAATGTTAAAAGGCAAAACCAAATATGCAGAAAATACATTTTATATGCATACAGAAGAACAGAAACAAATATAGGTCAAAAAGAGTGGATCAGCTCTCTGAGAATAAGGTCCCTTCAGGCAGATTGGTGTCTCGGGAAGATGCTTTGGGCACCAGGGTGGAGGATGGGCTGGAGAGCAGCAGAGAGACTGGAAGAGGGAGACCAGTCAGGAGACCATTTTAGTGGTCCAGTAATTTAGCCTAAGGTAGTTGCAGTGGAAAAGAATGAGAAAACACAAGAAATAATTTCTAAGGAAGAAATGACAGGGCCTGGTAACAGGTTAACGGTAGGATAAGGACAATGGATAGTGAGCACTCCAAGGGAATTTGAAGGTTTCCAGCCTGGGAAACTTGAAGAATGGTAGTACTAATGACAGAAGAGAGAAGCAGGGAAGGGAAGCGAGTTTTTGTTGACAGATCATAAACTTTTTTTTTGATGTGCTGTTTGTAGTGACAGTATAACCAGGTGGCGATGTGTTGCTGGTGGTTGGAGACATGAGACTAGAATGTGGGCCACGAACTTAAGAGAGCAGAGACTTAGAGCTCAAAGGGAATTTCTGTTCAACCTTCTCATTTTACAGGCCCACGGTAATGAAATGATCCACCCAGTATCGCATGTGTAGGAAGCAGAGACTTCATTATCTCCCACAGAACCTAGCTAGAAACATGAAGCCCTAATTCATAGACTTTAAAACTGGTAAGGAGAGGGGGTATCTTCCTTCCATCTCTCTAGTTCAGGAGCTTTAAGATCTGATTCCTGTAACACAGGAGGTAATAATAAGGTATGATTCCCCGCCCCCCCAAGTTTTCCAAGTTTATATTCATGTTTATGTACCAATGGAAATAGCTGGAGGGGCAGCGTGCATACTTAGCATCATTAATCATACAAAAACAACACTGACCTTCAGTAACTGTTCCAGCCCCGCAAGATTCGGTTAATCCATAACCCTGGCCGATGGGGCAGCAGAAACAGACGTTCATAAATCGGTGTGTCTGTGGTGAAAGCGGTGCTCCTCCAGAAAGCATCATACGGACATTCCCACCTAATAGGGCTTTTACTTTTTTAAACAGCAGACTTGATAAAAGGGAAGGGTGGGGAAGAGAAGGAGAAATATTTGAACATTTTTGCTGACGCAGTTATCTAAAGAGCAAATTAGTGAGAACTGCTTTAGTAAGGATTTCTCAGCTTTGCTTAAGCACGAAAACCTCAGTATTATGAGAATTAAAAAGCAATAACTGTCCAAAGACACTCTTCCTTTTGAAAAGGAGTGAGGTGAGATTTTATAATTGTTGCACAAATAAAAGAACAGAAGTGATATTGAGAGCTATATCTAGAAAGGCAAATACTGGACACTACAGTCTGACAAATGTATGTCTGGAAATAATGACCAACTTTAGAAACTAAAGTAATTACCTTTGAGTATTTATCCCTTTCTATGGCATGAAATTCCAGATCAGGCCATTAAATTTACATACGTGTGTTTTTACAAATGAATCAGAAACTTCCATGAGGAATGAGTCTAAGACAAAAGAAATCTCCTAACTCAAGTCTAGTCCATGCACTAAGCCATTTTCTGATTCCCAATTCATAACTATTCACCTAATTATTAAAATTAAGAGTTCTGTTCTTAACTTATAATGGCAAATGATGACATTTCTGATACCCAAGGCATACTGAGCTGGCTTGAAAATTCATCGATTGCTGTAAGAAAATTGCAAATGTTGAGCCCAAACTGTTGGTAAAGTTCTTGTGCATTTCCCAAGTATTTGCCATGTTTGTTATGTGACACATCAAAGAATTTGAATAATTTCACACTAGGAAGAAATGGCTTAAAGGGCCATCATGATAGTAACCCCAAAATAAAGTCCATTTGCTCCTTCCACCTGAATACTCTGGATCACAGGATGTAGTTCTAGAAGAGAACTTAGAGGTCACCAAGTACAGCCCTCTCATTTTATAGAGAAAGAAAATAAAGTCCCCAAAAGGGAGGTCAGTTGCCCAACACACATCCAAATCCAGGGCTCTTTCCAGTATACCACAATGAGCTTTGGAAATAAAAGGTTTCAAGATGACCTACAATACTAGTGGAACCAAGAAATGTACTTACAAATTGCACAAAGGGGCATCATATCCTTTTTTTATCTGTTCCAGCTTATAGTCATAGCCTATCTTGAAGAGAGTTTTCTGAAAATAGTTCATCTCTTGAACTTTACTCATAACATTCTTATAAATTCTGTCCATAATTTCCTAAAGGCGAAGAAAAGATTAAAATGACTTCTATGCAAAACACACACACACTCACTCACACTCTTCACTGAAGACAGTTTGTTGACAACACTTGTGAAAATTTTTAGCATATCATACATACTTATTTTCTTTAACATGTAATTAATTTTACTGACTTTGTTCAATTACAGGTAATAATTAACTATTTTAAAATGACTAAAGTATGAGATGGGAGTGGCCCTTCTTGCATACTTATGCTGAAATAAGAAATATTATTAAATACATGTGTCAACAACTCATCTAGTTCCCACAAAAAGAAATCTTCCATTTCCCTCAACTGAATTTAAATATATTCTTGGGCTAAACAGTTTTAAACATGCCTCAAGTTTCAAAACTTTATATTAATGGCAACATTGGTTACCCATGTTTGAAAGGTTGGGATATCTGAGACTCTTCTTTCTTCCTCATTTTTCTTATCCAATCAAGTTGCCAAGTCTAATAGCCTGTTTTCATTTCTCCTCCTCCTTGACCTCTCCCTCTGCAGAATTTACAATTCTCTCCTCTCTCGGTTTTCATGATTCAGCTCTCTCTTCATTCACCTCTCTGGCTGTTCATTCTCAGTCTCATTTGGTGGTTCTTCATTTCTCTCTGCTCCTTCATCCTGGGCTGTCTACCAAGGCCCTGGGCCTGGGCCTGATCTCCTTTCCAATTACACTATCTCACTTAATATTACCAGCTTCCATGGTTTCAATTATGCTATCTACATAGATGACTCCTAGATCTATCTACCTATCTAGCCCTAGTATCTCTCTTGAGCTATGGTCTTGTATCACCAAATGCCCTTTGCATATCTTGAACTGAATATCCCATATAAAAGCACCTCAGATTCAACATATTCAAAATTGAGTTCATTATCCTTTCTCCCATACCCTCCCTTTTAAAGTGTTGAGGGAACTAGCATGCTTCCCAATCACCTGGGCACCTCGGTGTCATCCTTGACTCCTTGCTCTCACCTACCCCACATGTCTAATCTCGTCATTTCTCCCTTAGTAAATTTTCCACCTATGTCCCCTTTCTTTCTACCACCCTAACTTAGGCCCTCGTTACCTCCACTCTGACCTATGATGATAGCCTTATAACTAGTCTCCCTACCTTGAGTCTCTCCCCACTCCAATCCATCCTCCAATTGGTTGCCAAGGCGATATTCTAACATGCAGGGCTGACCATTCATCCTCCCCTCTTGGAGTCAGAAAACCTGAGGCCATGCTCAGTGGACCCCAGTGGCTGCCTATATTGTTTCCAGTATCATGGCTCCCTATATTACCTCCAGGATCAAATTGAAACGCTTCTATTTGACCTTGAAAGCTCCCCATAACTTGGCTTCTTCCAACCTCTCCCATCTTCTTATATTCTCCTTCCCTCCACTCCCCACCCCCACAACTCCTCCTCCCAGCTGCTAGTGCCTTCACCTGACATTAACTCCCATCCATTTTCTGTACCGTCTCCCGCTACTGAATGTGAGCTCCTTATAGGCAGACCTTTATGTGTATCCTCAGTGCCTGGTATATTGTAAGAATTTAAGAAATGCTTTTTGACCGACTGATTATCATGTCCCATCAGTTAGTTTCTCTCTCTGCAATAACTCTCTTGGTCCCCCCTCCCTCTCTACTCCTTCTACCATCCTCCTAGATGAGCTCTTATCACCATCATAGTGTCCCAAATGTTCTCCCCATCTTCATTCTCTTCCCTAGTCATCTCTGATACTTCCCATTTCTTTTTCTTATGTATAGATCAGAAACCTTCAATGTTTCCCTAATGCTGATACTCCCTAGCCAATCTCCATCTGGTCCCACCCCCCCCCATTCCTAGCCACCTCATACTTATTAACCTCCATGTGTGTTATGCTCCAACTAAACCACGTCAATCCTCTGTCTTTGTTCCCCTTGACCTCTATTCTGGGAATGCTCAGCCCCAAAATCCACCTGCTGAAATCCTTTAAGGTCCATCTCAAAAACCAACTGTTCCACTGAATTGAAAAAGAAAAAAGATAGCTGTGTGACCCTGGCCAAATCACTTAACCACAACTGCCTCACCAAAAAGCAAAAAAACAAAAACAAAAACAAAACAAAACAAAAAACCCAACCCCAAAAGACTGTTAATAGTTTTTTTTTTAATTGACTTGAACTGAATAAAGATCTCTATTGATAGTCCTATAAATCCTATGTCCCAGAAGATTTAAGTAGTCTTACTCCAATTCAATAGAGGAAAAATAGAGGCCCAGAAATGAGAACTTTACACATGGGGCCTTTTAAATCATCCGTGGTAGAATCGGGATTAAGATACACTTTCTCTGATATCCAGCCCAGTCAATGCTCTGCTAATAAGGAGGAGAAAGTCTTTGACCAAATAAGGGAAAAGTATTAAACAACAAAATCTTCAAACTTTATAGAATAATTATGAAGACAGCAATCATATCTAATGTTACTAGATACAGGTTCCAAAAAGCAGCAAGTATTACTATGAATAATCACAGACTAAGCTTTGCACTGAATAAAACTACAGATGGCCCCTGTGGAGCCACACACAAGTTCAGAGACGAAGAGAGAACAAACCTTTTTTTTGGGGGATGCCTTCTTGTCATCCAAACAGATACAAACCCTGCTATATTCCAGTAATTCAAAGGAATGACCATCACACTTGCAATGCCTTCATATAGGTCTGGGACTGGCACTTCTAAAATCAATGTCCCCTGTACAAGGCCTTGGGTTTGAATCTACCAGGCTTTGCCACTAACTAGGTGTCTGACCTTTGGCAAATCACTTTCATTCCATACTCCTGAGCCTCAGTTACTTCCTGTGCAAAATCAGGGAGAAAGGAGTGGTAGACAAGATGACTGTTAAGGTCCCTTCCAGCTTTAGAGATGATGTATTACTGGGCTGCTACTAATGTGAGCTATGGTTAATATTCACTGGCTTTAATCTGAATCCTCATTTAGTGGGAATAAGATTGTATGTGTTTTCTGCCCTAGGAGAGAAAAGCAGTTGAGAAAATAAAATTATATCTGATACAGATTGTAACTGAGGCAACCATATTTATTTTTGCAGGCTGAAGACTTTCACACTTCAATTCCCTTGGCAAAGGACTTGAATTATAAACACCTCTAAACAGATCTTCTAAAACATTACATAAATGCAAGTTATTATCAGAGAGGTAAAAAAGGTACGTAAAAAAAGAACCCAGCACTTGGAGGCAGGAGGCACAGGGCTCTCATGCTAGTCATGAGCTGTGGGCCTTCTTCAAACCTCAATTTTTTCAGCTGCAAAATGGGGAGAATTTGCACTACCTACCACACAAGGTTGTTGGGGAAAGAAGTGCTCTGTAAAGCTTAGAAAACACTATAGAAATGTGAATTTCTATCATTACATAGAAAGATACCGTCACGTGAAACAATTTTATCATCTGCCTTACTAGAATAATTCTGAAGTCTAAAATTAAGACGATCACAAACCACAGATTTCTTGGAATAGCAGATAAGGATTTTAATTTTCTTAGATTTACCATATGAAAAAACTAATATTGCAAGAGATATGGATAAAGGTGAAGTTACAGTCATAAGTGATAGTTCATCCATCCAAGAAACATATATGCAAATATATTCCACTATAGGCAGAGCAGATTTAGTCCTATTTTAGTTTTAGAAAAGTCAAATTGGCAAAAATCTTATTAGCAAGTGGTTTCAGCTATGTTCAAAAGTATTTCCAAACTCTCATCTCAGAAAGGCTATAAAAGTCAACATCCCCCTTATGAAGAACAGTAGCATGTAAAAGAATAATTCTGAACACCTAGGCTGCTCAAACTTATTTATGCTGACAAGGTCTTGCCAAGCCAGTGTTCAGGAGACCTGGGCTCTAATTCCCTGGGAAAACCATTTCACTTATCTGTGCCTCAGTTTCCTCATTTGTAAAAATGCAAGGCTGGTCTAGATCAGCACTTCTTAAACTGTGGGTTGTAACCCCATATGGAGTCACAAAAAATTTGGCAACAGTAAAAGGTTTCTGAACATGCGCGACCAAAAATTAATTAAAAATCAAACGTGTTATGAATCAGAGGTGTTTGCTGGTGCTACACTGCCACGACTTCACTGCAGCCTTGGTTCTGAACACAAAGCATGTGCACTTTGTACTGCACATGCCCTCAGGCCATGCAATGCCAACTAACGTTGCCAAAAAGGGGTCATGAGTGGAAAAAGTTTAAGAAGCCCTGGCTACATGATCCCTTTCCAGCTGGAGGACCACAGAATGCTTGAGCTGGGAGGGGCTTCTGAGACTCAACTCCTCCCCAAAGTAGTCAATGCTTTCTGTCCCGTCCCCAAGACGAGGCTATCCAGGGTCTGTTTGAATACTGGCTATTACTATGGCAAAGTCCCCTCACTGAGTTATTTGAAAAAAGTATTACCTTTTTTTAATCTAGTTTTCAAGTACATATTTAGGAAGTTTCCATTTCTTTTTCTCAAATGTTTGAATGACTTTAAACCACCCAACTGAGAAACTTACTTTTCTTAGGCACTGAATAAAAAGTCAAGCTATGGAAATGACCATCCATGAGTGCTATTAAAAAAAAAAGGCATGTGGTACTTACACTGCAAACAAATTCATGATCAAAACTGTTACGTATTGTAAATTCGATGTGGAGTCAGAAGGCCTGGGTTTAAGCCCAGCTTTTGACACCTGGACTAGCTGGATGGTCTTGGGAAAGTCAAATACCCCTTGAGAATTCAAGTTTCCTGTCTGCTGCATAGGGCCCTCCTGAGGAAAGTACTACAGAAATGTGAACCATTATTATTCGCTGCTGATGTTAGCCTCTACTTACCGGTACAGCTGCCATAAGTGTAGGCTTCAGAACACTACAGTCACCTTTGCTTCCTTTTTTAATTTTGCTGGACTATAACAAAGAAAAAGTTCAACATGTTATGTAAACAAATCACAAAAAAAGTTTAAAATAACTCAAGACACTTTCTTATTAAAAAATCGTTCAAGTGTCATTCAAGCATTACCTGAGCCTATCCAACAAGAGCTACAGATGCAAAACTGTTACCACAGTAGTTCTATGTTGGTGGATCTGGGACTTCCGAACCCCAACGTGCCTTCTTATTCTAGTGGATTTTTATCTGTATCTTTCCATAAATTCTCGGCCTTAACCATGGATTGAATGTTCCCCAAGGTTCTGTCCCAGGCCCTCTTCTCTTTTCTCTGTACGGTCGAATCACCTCCTGTTGACTCAAGTCTCCTCCTCTTCATACAGAGGACTCCCACATCTCTACTCCCCCACTCTCCTAAGCATCAGTCCTACATCACTAATGACCTAGCAGACATTTCAAACTGGATTTCTGGTAGGCATCTCAAACACCACATGCCCCAAATGATCTCCTCCTTGAAACCTACAACTAATTCCTAAATTCCTCCTTTTTGTTCAGGGCACTACCATACATACTCCCAGTAACGCAGGCTTATAACCTTGGAGTCATCCTCAACTCTTTCATCTCACTCACATCCAATCAGTTTCTAAGACTTGTTGATTCTTCCTCCACATCATGTCTTGGATTTGGCTCCTTTGCTCCATTCACATGGCCACCACTCTAGTTCTGGCCCGCCTTAAGTCTTTCCTCTTTCCATGCAACTGCCAAAGCACAGGTGTGACCATGTGACTCCCCTATTCAATAAACTTCAATGACTCCCTTTTACCTCTAAGGATTAAATACAAACTCTTCTGTTTGGCATTTAAAGTCCCCTTTGAACATAGTTCCAATCTACCTTTTTATTTCTATTTTTTTTAAAGGCAATTGGGGTTAAGTGACTTGCCCAGGGTCACACAGCTAGTAAGTGTCAAGTGTTTGGTCTGAGGCCAGATTTGAACTCAGGTCCTCCTGACTTTAGGGCTGGTGCTCTACCCACTGCACCATCTAGCTGCCCCATAACCTTTGTTTTTAAAACTTTGAGTTCCAAATTCTCTCCCTTCCTCCCTCCCCACTCCTCCTCATTGAGAAGGCAAACAATACTATATAAGTTATAAATGTGTAGTCATGCAAAACATTTCCATAACAGTCATGTTGTGAAAGAAAACAAAGGGAAAAAAAACTTCAAGAAAAATAAAGTAAAAGCAGTAAGTTTCAATCTGTATTCAGACACC